ATCCATCAGCAAGATCTCTTGGCTCCATCTCCAAAACACATCCCGAATCCATCCTCTTCTTTCATTCCCCAAAGACAACAGCTTAATTCAACCCATCGTTGTCTCTTGCTTGGACTTCAGCAGAGCCTCCTAACAGGTTTCCCTGTGTCCACTCTTGCTTTCCTACAATCCATTTTCCACCAAGCAATCAGTGATTTTAACAGTGTCAATGAGATCAGGTAACTCCCTTGTTTAAAGCCCCCAATCAAGTGCTTCCCATTACGCTGAGATTCAAAACTCACTGTCATCAAATCGATTCCGACTCATAGCGACCCTATAGGGTAGAACTGCCCCACAGGGTTTCTAAGGCTGTAAATCTTTACGGAAGCAGACTGCCACATTTTTCTCCCGCAGAGTGGCTGGTGGGTTCAGACTGCCAACGTTTTTGTTAGCGACTGAGTGCTTAACCACTGTGTCACCAGGGCTTGGAAAGCTCTATATGATTGGTTCCCCCCATTTATCTGATGTCTTCTAGTATTAGACAGGATAGGTGATGCTATGCTGTGTTAACAAACTACCTCCAAATCTCACTGGTTTAATAAAAAAGATTTCTCTCTCCCTCAGGTTACATGTCAAATGTGGGTTGGCAGGGAGTTCTGGTCCACACGTTACCCAGAGGACCAGGATAGAGGCTCTACCAACTTGTAATACCACCATGTCCACAGGTGGCTTCAGGTTTTTTTTTTTTTTAACACACATGGTGAAGAGCATGGAGAGTCGTGCATGGATTTTTCTCTGCTCATAAACCACTTGGCCAGAACCAACCATGTGACCTGTCAAACTGCAAAGTGGCTGGACAACATGGAGATCCATCTGATGGCCATTTGGTGAGCAGCGTGGTTTCTCTGCCACAATCGTGCTCCCCTTCTCCCACCATCACTCACCCACGCCAGCCTTCTCAAACGCACCAAAAGCTTTCCCACCTTGGGGCCTTTGCCCCAGCTTTTCTCTCAGCCCCAAAGGCTCTTGTGCTGTTTCTCAATTGGTTGACTCAAATCTCACCTCCTCAGAGATGCCTTCCCTGACTGCCTGTTACGGGTTTGTGTACCCCAAAAACAATGTGTTGTAAATCTTAACCCCTATACCTGTGGTTATAATCCCATTTGGGAATGAGTTTTCTTTGTTAAGAGATCATATCAGTGTAAAGTGTATGCTAAGGCAATCATCTTTGAGATATACAAAGAGAAGTAAGCAGAGATGAGGGAAGATAGATGCCATGCCACATGAAGATCACTAAGGAACAAGGACCTTCCCAAGAGCCGACAGAGAGAAAAAGCCTTCCCCTAGAGCCGGTGCCTTGAAATCGGACTTGTAGCCTCCTAAACTGTGAGAAAATAAATTTGTTAAAACCACCCACTTGTGGTATTTGTTACAGCAGCACTACCTAACCAAGGCACTGCCCAATCCGAAGTAGCCACCCACTCCCTCCATCACCCTATCTTAATTCCCTGCCCAACCCTCATTATGCTGACATGTCTGGGGTTCTTTCTCCTCTCAACAGATTGTATATCCCAGGAGAGTTCACCTGTTTATCACTGTATTCCCAGTACCTAGAACAATGCCAGGCACAAGGTAGATGTTCAGTATATATACATAAAGAATTAACCCAAAATTGTATTTCTGTTCCCATTTTACAGGTTAAAAAAAATGGCAGACTCAAAGAAGATAAGTAGTTTTGCCCAAGATCGTATGACTACCAAATGGTAGTGCCTGGTGTACAATCCATGATGCCACCACCCACGATAGTGTTTGCTTGCCTGATGTCGCTGTTCCCAAATATTGAAGTGGCCGACTAAGTTTTATTTGATCCTCTTGTTCTTCTCAGAATTCCCCCACTGGTGGCCCTCCACTGTCCTGGGCTTTTAAATGTCTCTTACCATAACTCTAAAAGGTCCCTTGGCAGTGCAAATGGTTTGTGCTTGGCTGCTAACTGAGAGGTTGGTGGTTCAGACCCACCTAGGGTGCTGTGGAAGATGTTTGCAGCTGTTTCTTCTCATTTTGAGTCATGCCATGTCAGCAAATAAAGGTCCCAAAAGCTTGACTCCATCCATGTCATTAAGGTCGACTCTACTTTGAGGAGGCAGCTCTCCCCCAGTCGTATTTGGAGTGCCTTCCAACCTGAGGGGCTCATCTTCCAGCACTATGTCAGACAATGTTTCACTGCTATTCATAAAGTTTTCACTGGGCAGTTCTTTCAGAAGCAGACCGTGACATCCTTCTTCCTAGCCTGTCTTAGTCTGGAAGCTCCGCTGACATCTGTCCACATGGGTGACCCTGCTGGTATTTGAAACACCAGTGGCATAACTTCCAGCATCACAGCAACATGTAAGCCACCACAGGATGACAAACTGACAGATGAGTGGTGGACTGTGGAAGAAAGGCCTGGCAAACTACTTCTGTAAAGATTATAGCCAAGAAAACCCTTTGGATCTCAGTTCTACCTTGTAACATATGGGGTCGCCATGAGTCAGAATCAACTCGATGGCAATGAGTTTTTGTTTGTTTACCATAATCCTATGGAGGACAATTTGTCAATTTCTATCTGGAATTTACCCCACAGATGGATTCACATATGTGGAAAATCAACATACATGAGGATGTTTCATTAAGGCACTCTGATAGCATCTAAGTCTTACATAAAGATATCATCTCCTCAATGAAAATATAAAAATACAAATCAGAATACCAGTGTGGCTCCATCATTTGAACTTATTTTATTGATATTCATTAGCAAATAAAATTTTATTGTTGATTTCTGATGCATTACAACATACTTTTTGGTAGTGGTTGCACAATGTTTACCATTTATTTATTTACTAGACTAAATACTGCAACCTCCAAATTGTCAATTTTTATACCGGTACTTCCTTTGTGATGGTGGGTGGCTCCTCTTTCTGAATACATAAAGTGGTCCATTCAGTCCATGTTTCTTGTATTTCTTTGTTATTCTAACTACTGCTTTAAAATACATTCAAATAAAAAGATATAAGTTACTTGCTGTGAATGCACACATACAACAGCGAGGAGAGTTGAGAACATAATTAACCAACACTCTCATGATCAGAGAGAATAAATAGCCTGAAATCATGGGACGGAAGGTAGCTCCTGGGGACTTTCTCAAAAGCATCCTCAGGGACAGGTTACACTCGCTCAATTTAAGGATATGTATATTTTGCTGGGGGAAGGGGAGTGGGCCAAGATGACAATTTCATTTATATGATGTTATCCTGCTATAACATCTGGAACAAATAACACAAAAAACCGTGATGTACAGTGTACTGCATTTTCACACAAAACGTGCACCTTTTACATTTGTTTGCCAACTGCGCCTCCCTGAGAGGTATTTTCCTAAACATGCTATGCTAATTTTTTTACAGCAAAGTGTAAAAAAAGAAAAAACAATGGCATAGCAACGTTTGCAAAAATACCTCACGTGGGGAGGATGTGGTTGGCAAACACACGTAGAAGGTGCGCGTTATTTGGGTAAAACATGGTAGTCCTCAGAGTATAATAAATAAATGATCTCCTTGGATTGGGATGCCACAGAGACACTGTGACTAGAGCTAGGAAGGGAGAGAGTTTGTTTCAAACACAGGCACACACACACAAATAATAAATAAAGGTTCACGACTTGGTCGGCGACACCAACAGGGCCAGTCTCCCTTGTTCGTGTGTGGGTCTCTTCATCAGCACCTCTATTTTTCCCTAAGGATAAAAAGTGGCACGAAGACAGGGCTCTGGGGGGAAGCAAACAGCCATGCTGTGCCATGCCCTGTCCTGAAACACGGGGACAAAGCATGTGGGCATCGAATGGCTGCAGCACGAGACTGCACGAGCAAAGGTGCGTTTACCAGTCTCGCTTTTCAGAGTAAGGACAGGAATCGGCAGAATCCCAAAGCCTTGCCTCTTCCTCGATTCAGTTTATTACCGGTGGTCCTGGTTGTGGTTCTTCCCCTCTACTTTTACTGCTGGCTAATTTCTTCGACCACCTTTCCCACCCCCGACTCCCTTTCCTTTCCATCTTATTGTTACAGTTGTCTGGAGTTTAATCTGTTCGGTTGTGACACGGGGCCGAGACGTAAACCGCCATCCCCTTAGCGGCGTGGTGTATTTGAAATTTACATCTCGGTGCCAGAGAACCACACACAGAACAGACGCTGCTACGTCCCAGCCAGTACCATTATTTCCCTGCATATAAAAAAATGGAAAAATAAAAACGGACCATACAGAACACGGAGGGAGGGCTGCAGAATGGAGCAGTGGACATGGAAATACATTCTCTTTCAGGTCAGACGTTTGGCCTGACAGCTGATTACAAAACATAGGACTTCAAGTTGAAGGCAGGAAAGGAAAAAGTCACACCTCAGAAAAGAAACGGCCATCCATTGAGGCAGATCAGCAGACGTCTCTGGAGAAGCTGGGCCACCCGTAAAAGAGAGAAAAGCTCTCCAACCACGAGCATATCAGCCCTGGGGGCTGCCTGTGGCAGAGGACAGGAGCTCCTAACGCTCTCATGGGGTGGGCGGGGCGTCCTGGGTGACATTACGATCTGTGCCACGTGATGACAGCTTGCAGTCCACACCACAGGCCTCTGCTTTGGCTGGCCAGCCAGGGAATCCACTGATTTCCTATCCATGGGATAAGAACACACTTGGTAGTTCCAGTGCTTCTCAGAAGGAAAGAAGAAATGAAGATACCCACCTTCCCCCGGGTGAGCACAGATGAGGTCCTCAGGAGAGCCAGGGGAGTGCCAAGTGACCCAGAGAGATCAGGGCAGACACCAGGACTCCCAGTCCTATGTTGACACTCTTCCCCATTAGGCACAAGGTCGATTTGTCTAGCTCAGGAGGGGGCAGACAGAGAAAGGAAGAGGGGGAGAACACACTGCAGGGGGGAAGAGGGAGGTGGGGAGTGAGATGGGAGAACATGGGTCTCTCCTAGAGGAACACTCCCTCCCATCCTCATCGCAAGCTGGTTTGTTTGGGGAGCTTAGCACCCATCAAGATGCCTGAGGTGAGAGTCACGGGGGCTTTCATCTGCATGCTGGACCCCACCATGGTGGGGAAGCTACGGTTCCGTCGGATGCCACTGTTGAGCTGCAGTCCGCCAATGGCACTGGTAACCGTGGGGCACCCAAGTGGCAGGCCCTCAGGTACTAGGCCTCTGGGGACCAGGGCCTGTGCTGGCCCTGGGGGCCCGCAGAGCAGAGGCCCCTGGTTCTCAGTCAAGGTGGGGATGTGGGCTCGCCCTGAGTTCACCACTTTGGCCACACCAAACCTCCTGACCTTGTCCACGAGGTTGAGGTTGGAGACAGACACATCTGTCTGGCTCTCGCTGCTCCGGACGCTCTTCTTTTCCCTCACTTCCCTCAGGATGGAGCTGGCGGGCTTGGAGGCCAGGAAGGTGTCGTAGGGCGGGCTCGTGCACTTGAACTCGAAGGAGGGCGGGGAAGACGTGGGTGTCTGCATAGGTGAGTTCGGCGGGGTGGAGGGGATCACGGCCATCCTGGGGGTGTATGAGTGCAGAAGGGAGCCCCGGCCGGCCCGGTCCCAGCTCTGGGGGTTGTACACGGCCGCCGAGATGCCCCGCTCCTTCAGCAGCCACACCAGCCCCAGCGATGTGCTCATTGTGGTCGTGGACTCGCGGGTGTTGGTGAAGGACTCAGCCAAGCTCAGTCTCCGGGGCGTGCACGGCGTGGCCACTGGCGTGGACTTCAAGTGGCTGGCACTGCCACAAGCTGGAGTCGGGGCTGAGTTAAGGCTGGAAGGAAAAGATGGCAGGTCATTCATGAGCAAATGCCTGCGAGCACCAGGAAAAGGATCAGAGGTCAGTCTCCTGCAGGGGGTTCAGGGCGGGCCGGGGATACAATGAACTGACTCCCCCAGCCATGGCCCCCCAGATGCCTCTTCCTACACCTGCTCCTCCCTCTCACCCACAGAGCACCAACCTGCGTTCCTTTAAATGGGGACATGGTTGAAGTTAACAGGAACCTGCAAACGCTCCCCTTTGCTCATCTCTAGTGGACGGGTATAACTGTTCCCTTTGCAGATGAGGAAACTGAGGCTCGGGGGCTAGGGGGCTTACTCAGCATCACACCCAGTGATCAAGTGGACACGTCCAGATGTGAACCCAAGTCTGAGTGACACCCAAGCCTTTCTTTCCCTACCAAATTCACTCAAATCCTAGTGTTCCTTCCTAATATGACTTCACTGAGGCAAGACGTTAACCAGGACTATGAGATACAAGAGTTTACCCTAGAAGCAGCCAAGACAGGTGGGATAGCTCAGGTGGAGGGCCTTCAGGTGATGGAAGACTGAGGTTTTAGCCTGTACAGCAAGTCAGAGGCCCACCCAGCCTCCTGTCTCCTAACACTGAGCTCCTTCTCTGCATCACATGGCTGGCCAAATCCATTTCCATGAGTGGAGCTATAGGATCAGAGGAGACCACGTGATGTATTATCAAACCTACATCTGCAGAGCTACCTAGAAAAAGGCCCCTGGACATGCGAACCCTGAGCAACTATAGGGAAGGAGAGACATCTGTTCGTTCACTGTGTCATAGTGACTGAGGATCCACTATATTCCAGAAGCTGGGCTCCAGCAGTGAAGGGAGTTAGGGCTGGAAAGTATAACAGGGGTAGCAGCAAGGGAAAATGCACTGTTGTCTCCTTAAAACATAGGAAGGCTCTCTTTTAAACAGCTGCTACAGGGACAGGGTGAGGCCAAACAGGCCAGAAGCTCTGCGCTGCTTCTGGATGAGCAAGCAAGGGATAAGGAGGCATAGCCCTCAACAGCCTCACAGAACCAGCCCGGGTGCCCGCTCGAGGATTCAGCCGGGGCTGCAGGCACCCCTTGGAGCAGCTCAGCTGAGTGGTCCTGGGTGCCCAGGGTGGGAGACTCCTGTTCCCCCAGCCCAGCGAGGGGAGGGCCAGACATCTTAGACAAAGCACCAACTTCGGGGACAGGAAAAGAAGAGGACCCACCCTGGAGGGCACCAGGAACACATCCTTGGAACGACCTCCAGAGCAGAGGACAAGCTGGATGCACCACTTGGCTGTACACTCCAGGGACCTCACCGCTAGCGGCCAGCACAGGGTGGGGCCCACACAACAGGCCCGTGTCACACAAGCTCAGGATGGGGATGCTGTGGGGCAGGAGCGCTCAGAAAAACGTGAGTTAAGCAACCACGGCAGATCCCCAAGTTTAAAATGTGGATTTTCAAAAGGTGCAGGTGGAATCCTACAAGTATGGACCTTAAGCAATAGAGGACAAAAAAGTTCTGGACTTCAAAATAAAAATTTGTTTCAATGGTCACTGCTAAGGAGATTTTCGATTTTGTTTCAGATTGCCTTTCTTTGTCACTCAGGCAAAGTGGCTTTCTCTTGCTACTGACTTCCAAGGCGTTCTTGGTCTGGGTGGACTCAGAGATGAAGACGTGTGTGGTTTGGAGAGTGTGGCTTGAGTCGGGGGAGCACATCTGGGCACCAAAGGCACCAGCCTTCCACAGGGGAAGATTCCTCCCCACGTTTATAAAAACCACCTCTTCCCAACGTAAAGCCACAGGACGGGGAAGCTAGGTTCTCAAGAGGCAGGAATGGAGGCGAAGACGACAAGGCTAAACCTCAGAGACCCCGTCCAGTGAGAACTGGGGTTAGGCCTGGATTAGTGCTGGCACTCTCTTGCCTGGGCATTTAGAAGGGTTAGGTGGTCACGTTAGCCAGGCACAACCACAGGGACACATCCATGCCCAATTCCCAGGTTAGTGGCGGCCACGCGTGCACACACAGCCCCTTCCAGGGGACCCTGCCAGGGCAGGCCCTGCCAGCCGTGTGCTCACCCCTGCCCCGCCTGGGGGCTCAGACTCTCTGCCCTACATCTCCTCTCAGCACAACGGGGCATATGGCTGCTTCGTCGTCCTCCTCACATGACCTGTGGAGAATCATTCATAGTTTAAGGTGCTCCTTGGGGAGGCTGCTACCTGCAAGCTGGCCCTTCTTGCCTCCCTCCCTTTGCTTCCCCTTCCATCCACACCAGCATCTTCCTTGACTTCACCACAGAGAAAACAATGGATTGGGTCACTCTGGCATGATGGGGGAGACCATTTTCCCTTTGCTGGAAGCTGTACCAGTACCAGCTGCCATCGAGTCGACTCCGATTCCTGGCGACCCCATGTGTGTCAGCGTAGAACTGTGCTCCATAGGGTTTTCAATGGTTGATTTTTTGGAAGTAGATCACCAGGCTTTCTTCCGAGGCACCTCTGGGTGGACTCCAACCACCTTTTGTTTGGCAGCCGAGTGTGTTAACTGTTTGCACCACCCAGGGACTCTAGCTGGAAGCTGTGGAAGCCCTAATATCAAGCCAGGCAGACCACTCCCTGCCACCACGTCCTCTCACCGGATGGTGCCAACTTCTATTGCTTCTTGGATGCACCGGAAACATGCCATGCAGGATGCACGGCGCAGTCTTGGTGCTTTATCATTTTGGTCACTATTGTGGGCCGTGGTGCAGGGTTCCTGGAGTGTTTCAGGATCACAACGGCTTTCACAGGACTCAGTGACTCCACCCCGTGAAAGAACTCCATGTTCTGCTGGCAAATGGGGCAAAAATCCAACAGCCTTGGCCTTAGGGCCTGTGGCAGTGTCAGCTTCAGTCTGTTGACAGGCTTAAGAATCAATTCCATGGCCAACTAAAAGGGGAACTCAAGAGGCCCAGATCTCTCTATCCAAGCTTGATCTGAATCAATGTGGGCCTCCCTTCAAAAGGAAGTGGGACCCAAAAGAGCTGACTGCAAAAGCTTATGAGATGCTTAAGCTAGCTTGAGTGGGTTTTTTGATGAACCGCTCTACTTCAGCTTTCCTCAACAGTCAGCCTCGCAGGGAGTGCCCCGACCTCACCCTACCCCTGCCCACCCTGGGGCTCAGGGTCCTTACCTTGGCGTGACCCGCGTGAGCTCATCTGAAGGATGCAGGATACGGCAGGTGGTGAAGGTGAAGGTGGAGTTGGTCTGCGACATGCACTTCCCAGGGTGGTGTGCTACATCAGGGGGAACAAAATACATTCCTCGCATCCAAGTTAACCCACAAGTAAGGGAAGGATCCAGCATGGCCCTCGACAGATGTAAGAAGCAAGGAGCTACCTTGTTGACTGGATCTGGGCGAGGAAGGTGAAACGCAAATGTTCTGGATCGAAGGTGGTCCCTCAAAAATAACCACACTTCTGAGCACTGGACTGCAGAGCACTGAATTCCAGCTTCCGTCCCAATCCAGACAGGGACCCCGTCAGCATTCTCGGGCCAGTAGTGGATCCAGTTCGGGGGACTAATGGGCCCTTGTGGGTAAATTTGGCTTCCCTCCTCAGAGGTCAGAATCGGCTTTCTTCTTTTGTTGCTTTACATTTCTGGTCATTGGCAAACTCTGCCCGGGGGAAGGGAAGTGGTGCGAGGACGGGAGGGCACCCTGGACATAGGGCAAGGTCACGCGGCTCCCTTTTCTGCTCATACAAAAAAAGGGGCTTGGGGAAGCTGGTTCCACTACTGCCTATCTGTGATCGTTTTGGTGGGAGAGGGGAACCTCAGCTGGCTCAACAACAACGTGACATCAGCCCCAGAGTTAAGGGTGCTTAGGGACACTAAGGTGCCAAGATCGAGTCTGGTCTGAAACAGGGTGTCACGGTCCCCCCCGCTGCTCTCTTGCCATATCTAGGATGCCCGATTTCTAATGAAAATGAGATGGCAATACGTTGTCCCCAATTTACTTCCTTTTAAAGCTTTAAAGAGTTGTTGTTGAGGCCGCTGAAGATGATGGTCTGGAGCAAGGTAAACCACAAAAGTGTCAGCACCATGCATCAGAAAGCTGGCGAGGAGACAGTGATAGCGGCCACGGGAGACATCATGATTGCAGAGGTCCTCCTCGTTCATAAGTCAAGCATAAAACAAATAAAAATTACAAAAAGACGCTGCTTCCAATAGCATGCACAATGAAGTACTTGGGTAATCTCCCTCCCCACCCACCAAGCCCCCTGGCCCTGCTGCAGATCAGCCCCCAGAGACCTCCTGGGAGAAAACGGATTCGGCTATCAGAGGCCATAAGCACTCTGAACATTCAAAAGGCTTGCAAGCTAGAATCTTCTAGCTCTTTATGGCAAGTTTTCTCTTGGATTTGAGAAAAAGGAAAAGGACAACATAACAGAATGGATGGGTGCTCCAGACCTACAGATCCACACACAGTTGACTGTGTCTTATAAGAAAACCAGGAGCCAGATGGAACAAAAAATGTTCGAGACACACAAACTGAAGGCAGGCAGGATGAGCCAGTGCACAAAAATGGTGACAGTGGCAAGAGGAGCAACGTGAGGCTGGTTTGCCCCGCGTATGATGAGATGACACATCTCTGGCTATCAGGAGGCTTCAGTGACACCTGGCGTGGCAGCCAGCACCATTGCCACAAGAGCAAACTCTTCACCACAGGGAGCTTCAGGCAAAGCAGGAAGGGGGGTAAAAAAAAAAAAAACCAACACACAAAAAATAGCCTTTATGAATCTTTGTTTCTTAACCAATACATGCCATGGTTTATGAGCTCAGGCAACTGAGAAGCAGCTGCAAGCAAAACAAAAATGGAATAAGCTATGAAGAGAAGGCAACTGAACAATCACGATTCTCTCACTGCAATAAGGTCTAGAAACAAAAGCAACAAAATGTCTGAGAGAAGCATCCCAAATAACAGGCATGAGGGGTCATTTGGCAAGGAAGAGAAAAAAAAAATGCAGTCAATAGAAATAATTAAGACAAAACAGTTGAAAGAGAGAAAACATTAAAAATCAAACAAAGCAAAGCTGGATTTGAAATTAGAGGCGCACCCCCATGTAAATGCATGGTGAAAATAGCAAATCACCCCAAATAGTCACAAACGTTAATAGTGTCCTTCTCCACCCCGTTCTGTATTAGATCTTCAATTCCAACAGGAAGTATTAAGATGGATGTTTTAAAGACAGAGCTGTATTAGCAGAAGCAAAACCCATTTTAGACAAATGGGTTTGGGGATAGGAAAGGCTGCTAAAAATTCAGAAGTCATCATTCCCCAGAAGCACTGGATCATTTTCGAAGGCCAAGGTAGATCAACAAGGGTCAAAGCCAGAGATTGGGCCCTTCCAAAATACCACGGGGATGCCTGGGCTGCGAGCTCTCCGCGCGTCAACACTGACTTCTGGGCCGCTGCAGCGCCTCCCTTCCTTGAGACACAACATAGAGACAGTGAGTGTGCCCAAGGCCGGGCCAGCAGGGCTCCCTGTGCTTGACTGAGCAGCAATAGGCCACTCTACAGCCCTGGGTCCAGTAAGGGAGCAATTTCTACAAAAAAGAGGCACATAAAGCATTTTCTGTGGCAGGGAGTGGGAGGCTAAGGGTGAGGAGAGGAAATGAATGACGGTTCCCCAGAACACACCGCACACCTAGGCCTTGCCTGACCTGAACCACACGCTCTTTGCAGACGATGGTATGGTGGGCTTATCCTGTGCTGCTCACTTTGGGGGCTCAAACGACAGGGTTTCTGGGACTCAGTGCTCCAACTTCCTACTGAAATTCTTTTTTTTTCTCAACCTGACTGGAGGGCATCAGGGTGTTGTGAGGAAACGGGCAGGTCTTAAACAGGTGAGAGCACTGACGGTGACAAGCGCGTTCATCAAGTATTTTATTTAGGGATGAATTTGCATTTTAAGAGGACAACTGACTCTGGATTATTTTTAGTTGTTCTTTCTCCCCCAGGTTCTGACACTGGTACAAAGTCCTAGTCCATCAAAGATAATCTTTAAACATAATTAATCCTTGACTGCTCAAGATGGTCTATGCTGGTGAACTATAGATGGTCAGCGTGCTGCCTTTTGGTCCTGAGAATACATATACCCTTCAGGTAGCTTCATGCAGGTGTGCCAGCGGATGAGAGTCACCCTGCTCACCTGTTCTCTGAACAGACTTTTGTGTGATTTCTGCCTGGAGGAGGTGCCCTTGCTAACTGGTGCTGGCTGTGCTGTTCTCAGGACTTGGGGTGGTCAGGGTTCCTGCTGCTATGGCTGGTGACAGCAGAGTTGGGGCTTCCTCCCTGCGCACCCCTGCAGACTATACTGGGGATTATCTGCAAATGTGCTATAGGCTGGGGTGGTTGCTGCTCTGCAGAACGCTCAGGCCAGCCGGGGCAGGAAAGTCCAGCGCTTTTCCCACAGCCCAGTCTTCCAAGCCAAAGAAGAAAGGCACACGGACAAAACTGTGGCACGCTGGTGGGCCCCCGAGTCTCCCTGGGAGTCGTGAGGCTGACCGGGACTCTGGCCACCCACATAGATCTGTGCACACCAGCTCATGCATTTCATTCAGTCCGAACGATGCTTTCCTCCCCCATCCACAGGGAAGGGCAGACCGGCAGTGTGCTGGGAGAACAGCAGCTTTTCTCTCTCTAAAAGCCATCAGAGACTCTGTGTCCTTGAAGAACCGTTGTCTGAGCCCACACTGAGATGTCTGAGCGTACAACCGTGCCTGGATGTTTCTTCGTGAAGGTGTGACACACACATATTGAAGGCTGCCTCACAGGGATCTGAGGGTGGGGAAACGTTAGCCACGCCACATACTCAAGCTTTTATTTTACTTACAGAAATAACTTCTTAGGAGCCCCGGTGGTGCAACAGTTAAGCGTTCGACTACTAACCAAAAGGTTGGCGGTTTAAACTCACCCAGTGCTCTGCGGTAGAAAGACTCGATGATCTGCTTCCGCAAAGATTACAGCCTAGAAAACCCTACGGGGCAGTTCTACTCTGTCACACAGGGTCACTATGAGTTGGAATCGACTTGATGGCACCAAACAACAACAGATAACTTCTTAAAATGTCAAAAAAATTTTTTTACAAACACATCTCAAAGTTTTGGAAAGGGACCTCTCTTTGTGACCTACTGAGAGTCTTCCATATTCTTCTTGCCACTTCTCACAGGAAGGGGCCGACTTTATAGACCCTCGTGTAAAATGAACGAAATGCCCCTGACCTTTGTTCCCTTTTCTTAACTGAACTTGGCAGTGGTGAAGCTGTTATCACACAATTTGGTTCTGCTTTGCAATCTCTATACACTCATTAACCAACACACACACACTCCTCCCTGTAATTCCAGTAGCTGCCACCAGAGCAATGGTACCCATTGCCATCGAGTCAATTCTCACAGTGACACTACAGGACAGACTAGAACTGCCCCATAGAGTTTCCGAGGAATGCCTGGTGGATTCGAACTGCTGACCTTTTGGTTAGCAGACGTAGCTTTTAACCACTACGCCACCAGGGTCTCCTTAGATCAATAGTAGCACCATGGAAAAGTCTTTTCTATCCAGCAAAAACAAACCTGCAGAAAGTAAAAGCCATGATGAAGCCCACTTAAAGGCATGCCCTGGGCCGACTCCAAGAATGTTAAGTACCAGTTCCAGTACCAGTTGCTGTAGTGTTGAACGTGGACTCCTGGTGACCCCATGTGTGTCAGAGGAGAACCATGCTTCGTAGGGTTTTCAGTGGCTGATATTTCAGAAATAGATCACCAGGCCCTTACTCTAAGGCACCGCTGGGTAGACTCAAACCTCCAACCTTTCAGTTGGTGGCCAAGCGCATTAGCCATTTGTACTACCCAGGAATCCCAAGAATATGAGTCCGTTTTTTGAACATGCCCAGCTTCTAATGACTTTGCTGCCTTTTGCTCAAGGGCTAACTACATGGAGGGGGAAAAAGAAGGAAGTTTCTTTGCCTGTCAACTACATAAGAAATAGCTCCCTTTCCTTAAAAAAAAAAAGGGGGGGGGGCAACAAAACAGTGTTTTAGAGTTCTTCCTAAAAGACTTTAAAATATCAGGGTATAGAAAAATGCTTTAAGTAGACTTTTTCTGTCATTTTATTATACAACCCTGCCCATGAATTTTTCTGAAGGAGTTGTAAGTGAGTTAATGTGGGAAAAGCTACATAAAACCTTTATTTGCTTGCTCCATGCTTCATCATTAACATAAACACTGGTTTGGGATT